CTCTCTGCAGAGATCATTGATGGTACAAAAGGGGAAGTCGAAGAATTAACCATGACGGAGAAGGAAAGATACCTTATCTGGCATAGACGCTTCAATCATCTCGGCCCTGACAAAATCAGGAATCTGCACAAAGTCACTACACTCCAGAGACCGATCAAGGTCCCTTCAACTCTTGATGTCTGTGAAGTGTGCGCTCTCACAAAGATGACTAACAGAATCCCAAGTCAACTAAGTGCACGAAAATCCAAAAGGCTAGAATTGATCCATTTCGATGTTGCTGGCCCTTTCCCAAGGACCATTCGAGGGCACAGATACTTTCTCCTTATTATCGATAGCGCCACAAGGGTAAATTGGGTCATCCTATTGAAACAGAAGAGCGATGCAATACCCTTACTGAAAGCCTGGAAGCAAGAAATTGAACTTGCTACAGGAGTAGCTGTAATTGCTGCCAGAACCGACAATGCACCAGAGCTTCTTCAAGCCGTCCGGGAATGGAAGACTGGTGTGCGATCAGAGGTTACAGTGGTTGTATCGTCTCACCAAAATGGTCCAGCTGAACGCAATATACGCACCGCAGAAACCGACATGAGAGCAATGTTGAAAGAAGCTCATTTACCATTAGAATTTTGGGACGAAGCTGTCGAGCACGACGTATACATTCGAAACCGCACTAGTATTGGCCCAGATGCAAATGGAATCGATCGAAGCCCACTCGAAGCATTTACAGGCACATTACCAGATATCGATACATGCAAGGTCTGGGGGAGTCGATGTTACGCCTATATCAACCCCAAAACCATCCCAAAAGGACAAAGGCATGATAAACTTCGCGACACAGCAAGGGTTGGGATATTCCTGGGATACTCAAAAGACACCACCAAGCATATAAAGGTTTATTCACCAGAGCTAGGTTATACTTACCGCTCTTATCGTGTTACAATCGACGAAAGCTACAAAGGAGGGGATCTGGATCTCAAACTCAGAAACTGTGTAGCTGGATCACAAGGTACCAAGAATATAGAACCTGATCGCAGGCCTCGCGGCAGACCTAAGAATGTCCCTGAATCATCGTCTATTCCAGTCGATCCACCAATATCACCAAATGAAATAATCACAGACTCGATAGAGGTGCGCTTGCCAATACCAAAACGAACAAAGACTGAAATACCACGCTTTGATGAAGATGAATATGGAAATATCCGACAAGTGGCTGATGATTTAACAAGACCGGCAGGGGAAAACAACAAAGAAAGTGATGTTACTTTACCTGATATAACTTCACCACCTGATCATACACCACCGAAGTCAAGGGCACCTGAGGATATAACTTTACCACTTGATCATACACCATCGAATTCGAGTACATTACCTGAGAGTGTATTACCTGATATTGCACTACCTAATGAAACTTTACCACCTACTGCATCTACATCTGCATCTACTTCCACACCACCTTTGAGATACAATCTTAGGAAGAGAAAGAGAAGCGATGACGACGATATAGAAGAACAGAGAGACTCCAAAATCATTCGGGCCTTACTTGCTTCCTTAAATAAGCCAGGATCAGAATCAATTGAGCACGCCATGATTGCCATTCCAAATATTCATCAATTCGAACAGGAGACGAATAATGAAATTGCTTCGAAGATCTTGACTATTTTAGCAGATGCACCAGCAGAAGCTGAGACCGCTCTACCAGCAACGGAAATACTCGGGATCAAGATACCGAATACATATAAAGAAGCAATGGCAGACAAAAAGCACGCGAAAGACTGGCAAGCTGCAATTCAAGAAGAAGTAGACTCATTGGTCAAGAATGGCACTTGGGAAGAGTTCATTTTACCACAAGGGAGCAATCTAGTTTCAACGAAATGGGTATTTGTTGTTAAGACGAAGGATAATAAGGTAGAGCGATTCAAGGCCAGATTAGTGGCTAGAGGGTTCAGCCAAGTTTTAGGTAAAGATTACAACGAAACCTTCGCCCCCACTGTTCGACTCGATACTCTTCGCCTTTTCCTTGCAATTGTTGCAAGAGAGGACCTCGAGTGTTCCCATTTCGATATCAAAAATGCGTTCACCGAATCACACTTGAAAGAAGAAATCTATTTAGCACCCCCTCAAGGTGTTCATGTTCGTCGCGGCCGCGTTCTACATGCACTTCGGAGTCTTTATGGGCTAAAGCAAGCTGGTAGAGATTGGAGCCTTCTTCTGAAAGGAGAGTTAACCAAGATGGGTTTCGTACAAAGCCTTGCGGATCCGTGTTTATACACCAATCACCCGCGCCAGCTAATTCTCCTAGTGTATGTAGATGATATTGTTACTGCTGCTGCACAAAAACGAGATATTCAATGGTTTTATCACAACCTTTCTGCTCGATTCAACACCAAAGACCTGGGGGAGATTAGTAAGATCTTAGGAGTGCGCATCATTCGTAACAGATCAGAGAGAGTGTTAACTATGGATCAAGAAGAGTATCTGGATGCAATGCTTACCCGATTCGGGATCTCCCATGGTCAACACACTCCAAGGAAGATACCAATCTCGGATTACAACCAACTACGACCAACGCTCCCAGACGACGAGCTCACTGATGTAAACGAATACCAGCAAGCAATCGGCAGTACGATCCACCCTATGGTTTACACTAGACCGGACATCGCATTCGGTCTCGGGAGATTAGCACAAGCTATGTCTAACCCTGCCAAACATCACAGCGTTGCACTCAAAAACCTTATGAGATATTTGAGGTCAACTATTAAACAGAAACTACGTTTTGGGCCTGGGGGAGTTCAATCAGATATTTGCAAAGAATATGACCTCCTACAACGCACCATCAAAGTATACACCGACGCAGACTGGGCAAGCGATAGAACCGATCGAAAAAGCATCTCTGGTGGGGTAGTAATGTTCTATGGTGGACCAATCTCATGGGCAAGCAAGAAGCAGACATCTGTAGCTACATCTAGTACAGAAGCTGAGTACATTTCCATGGCGATGTTCACCAAACAAGGGCAATGGGTAGCCCAACTCTTGAGGGACTTAGAGCGACCACAGTATATCGGGAGCAACAGCGGAGTTCAAATGCTCGGAGACAACCAAGGAGCGCTAGCGTTAACCAAGAACCCACATCTACACGAGCGATCAAAGCATATTGACATATGTCACCACTTCATTCGAGATCTCACAGAAAAACATCTAGTCAATACCAGCTATGTCAATACAAGTGATATGGCTGCAGATGGATTAACAAAACCATGCGCAAGGGTGATATTTGAGAGATTCAAGAACATGCTGGGGTTTCAAAGAGAGTAAGCTCTTTGGGAGAGTATTGGAAGTTGTGGTATGTGCTCCAAAATCGACTAAATCGACCAAATTGACCAAATCGACCAAAATCACTGAATCCACCCATTTCACCTATTTCATCAGATTCATTGGATTCATCTTACGTCGAATTTATCAAAAAAAAAAAAAAAAAAAAAAAATTAATGATTTCAAGAAAATCACGTGGAATAACAGATAAGCTTAAGGTCTGTTCGCATACGATCGGATTTTGATGGTCTACCATATTAAAACAGTAACCCTACGATCAAGGAATAACGAATTTCGAAGCAATCAGTTATTGGGCGTATAAAAGGAATTTTAAAGAAACTAACTACTGAAGCTGAGAGAGTAAGCTCTCTGGGGGAGTGTTGGAAGTTGTGGCACGTGCTCTAAGCTACTGTGCATATATCACTTCCACTTCGTAGTTAGATTTTACCTTAGTACAATTAATCTACATAGTCAATAATACATGCATTCCACTGGCCTGCTCCTTTATTGTGAACAATAATCAACTTTTTTCGACTTTTTCAATATATAATATATTAATTAATAATAAGGGTTTATACCGGAATTTAATTAGTTTAATTTAATATATTGATTTTTATTGAAATTCTGATATTTTCATAATAGTAGTAGTAGTAAATTCTTAATCAATTCAGTCTATCTATAGGTAAGCTACAAATATTTCCATATAAATTTCAAAAAAAAAAGGAAAATAAGTTTAGTATATCCCAGTTTTCGGTATATCCCAGTCCGGTATAGCCAAGTTTTCTGTACCTATGCCTACAAAAACCACTCCCCTCAAACAAATCTCCTCACATATTAATCAATCTCCAAGATAAGCGCCGTCCACTTTTCGGGGAATGCGGATACAGTATGGAGTACAATACAATCTCATGCTAGAATAATTCCATCATGCATTTCAAGACATCCACAATTTCTCTACGGTATTCCATAATGAAATCTAGATTCTATACAAGATACAAATACTTACTCGAAGGTGCCGATGCGATGCACGAAACCGAACCAGAACCGGTCTGTTCTCGATCAATGCAAGACCCAATGAATCCCACTCCACCGGAAAAATAGCTAACGAAGCCGTCCACTCGGAACAAAGCTTCTTTTCTTAGATGTGGATCAGGGCATTCTCGTTCCGTGGCCTAGGTAGTGTCAAATTTCAAAAAAAAAAAAACATGCACTCCTATCTAGATATTGGGACGAGATACTGTATATACTATACATAGAATATTGCCTTCCGATCTACACCTGCGTCAAAACGCGTGCGCAGGCTCTCAATAAGATTGAACAATTTGCGTCTCCTCAAATCAGAGGGAGAGAGACATGAAGTTGCTAGTTCGGGGATCCGGGGGACGAGTCGGGGAATCATGCATTTATAGAAAAAGATGCGGAAAGCGCGGCGTAAAGGTTGCGGATGGGGAAATGCGGGGCATGGTGGGAGTATCTAGTAGGGATGCGGGTGGACGCGTCTGGATGGAGTAATGTGGTTCCTGGGTGTAGGTAATTTGAGGATGTGAGAAGCGAGATGGAGGGCGAAAGGAAGAGATAAATAGACGGGGAGTTTTTCTCGAGGTCTTGGGTTTGAGAGATTGTGTTTGAGAGTTGTGTTTGAGACTGAGTTTAATTTTGAGTGTGTGTTTTTTGTTTACTACTTTGCAATCATGTCGTTTGTTCGTACGTTTGGAAAAGCTGCTTTGGCGACTCTTCTCCTCACTCCTTCTTCCATATCAGCTACAGACTATACACCTCAAGAAACCGTCTTGAATTCTGGTCGTCCGACTTTCTACGATGCTTCAACTTCCATTCCTGGTAAAATTGCCCTCGAAGAACATGTTGGTAATGATCTTCTTAATGGTCTCTATACCGTCCCTTACTATCCCAACACCAACGAACCTCAATACTCTGATTCCGTCTACATCGCCGATGTAGGTGAGAAGATGCTCGATATTCCTTCGCGCATTGCCAATATGGATGCTGCGAATATTAGCATTTCCGTTTTAACATTTGGAGGCCCGGGGATCCAGGGTGTTTTCAATGCTACCTATGCGACCTATGCCGCTGGATATGTGAATGACTATTTGTACAAGAATTATAAGGATAATGCGAATTACACGGGGAGATTTGAGTTTTGGTGTAAGTAACCTACATGTACCTTGTACTTACAACGAGACTAAAGAAAATCAATAGGTAGCAATGCACTTCAAGAGCCCTCCAAGGCCGCTACCGAACTCGAACGTTGTGTCAAAGAACTCGGAGGTGTTGGATCCTTCGTTGGAGGCTACACCAACAATGGAGGTATCAACGGTACCGCAAACGATATCGTCTATCTCGACGACCCAAGCATGGAGCCTTTCCTTGAAAAGGTAGTCGAGCTAGATGTTCCCATCTACTTGCATCCACGTATGCCAGCCCCTAGCCAACTTCTCAGCGTCAAAGGCTATGAATTCTTGGGTTCATCTCCCTGGGGATTTTCCTCCGAGACAGGTGCTCACGCTCTCCGTCTCATGGTTTCCGGAACTCTGGATAAATACCCTACTCTTAAGATTGTGCTCGGACATTGTGGAGAGGGACTTCCATTTTTCCTTCCACGTATTGATCAGCGATTGAGACATTTCAATCAAGATTTGTTCAACAGCAAGCTGACGATGGAGGAGTACTGGCTCCGCAATTTCTGGGTTACAACTGCGGGTGTACAAGATGCGGGAACAGTGGTGGATACGATCAAGAGAACAGGTGAGGATAGAGTAATGTTTAGTGTGGATTATCCATTTGAGGATACGGTGGAGATTGCGGGATGGTTTGACCGTTTGGAGATGAACACACTTACCAAGACGAAGTTGGCATACGAGAATGCGAAAGCTCTTCTAAAGTTGACTTGAGCGAATGGAGGCCGAGGGTATTTTTGTACATAAATTGATAGTCACGTTGGATATCTTGAGTTGAGAAGGTTAGTAGAGGTTAGCGTGTGGTTGAATCTTTTGTGAGCGAGATACTGTGGGGTGGTTTGAATGATTCGAACGAGGAGTTTTCATTCTGTACATAAGAATTTGGAGTGAGATTGGCCATACTCGATACTGTTAATAGTATTTGAGCCATGACAGTGTAGAAAATATAGAATTTTAAAAAAAAGTCTGATTATCGGATGGGTTCCGTGTCTGTATGATCAATGAGAATGACGCTTTCAACTAGCAGCATATAGAAGTAATCAGTATACTTAGCCATCTTGCATTCGATTCTCTTCCACTGAACTCCGCCACTCCAACCAGCAGGATGGGACAATTAGGACGGAGTGAAACGATATTGGCTGCAAACTCCCATTGAGGTTGAAACTATCAAACTTCTCATGTTGAAGGGTCCTCAGTCTTGGCTTTGGATGTAAGCTTTAATTCATAGATCGATCTAAGCCTTGCGGGACGTGATGATTTATTATGGGTTTGAGGGTCCGGTCGTATGGAGATGGTATACTTTGGAACCACCATGCGGAGTAAGTGAGTGCCTGCTTGTTAGTACTGGCCCAATCATTTGAAAGGTTTCGCTGTTCCCCTCTAGTGCGCAAAGCAATAATTAGTATCGTGAACTGTAGAAATTGTACCGTACCGTCTTTCTTTTGGTCGAGAAAATAGGAGCTCCATTAACTCCTTTTGCTATGAGGTTGAGCCGATACAGTACGAATGAATTTCGAGTGTAATATTAGGCTCATCTGCTTCTACACAAATTCCAGACTCCGTGATAACGGTGTTGTTTGGCGATGGAGAGAATGTGACAATATCATCCTCAATCCCGTGTTCATGATGCGTCCGATTGAGCACGGCACGAAAGTTTATTGCCAAGTGTTTAAGTAAATCTCCAAGAACCGTAAGTATATCTTGATCAAGTATATTATGAGTGTTAAGAAGCCATTTTCTATATTATCAAAGTCATAAACCCCTAAACTCATCGACTTTTCCAAATAGTGAATGAATAAGAGTACCTCAAGGACTTATTATTACTAGATGGTATTCTGCAGGGACCCCGCCACTAAATGAACCCCTGAATTTACTACGTCATTTTTGTTATTTGTTATTTGTTATTTGTTATTTGTTATTTGTTATTTTAGTTAACTTATACTTTATTGATAAAGGGTCGCACAGCCTTACAAGGGAACCGGCAAGTTTATTTTAGACTTTTTCTCATTATGTGACACTTGGTAGGACGAACGGGCAAGTCCCTGGTGAGAATGGATGAATGATGAGATGACAGACAGACAGACAGACATGATGAAATCAAAGATAAAATCCAAGAATTAATTACGGTAAATGCTGATAGAATAAATATATTATAAAGTGTGAGTACCTTACACTTACGGCACTATTATTACACTCACGTTACCAAGTAGATCCGTCCTCTTACTTATTATTTTAGTATCGAAAGAAGTGCCCGATGTCTAGTTTTCCCCAGTATCGGCTAAAATGGTTGACGTTTCTATTCTGCAAGGCCTTTTATGAGTGGGGATGACAGTGACATGATGACATACACTGGTGGATGATAGATGATATGAAACTTCACTCAACACAAAGCTATTACATTACATAATAACTCAATCTCCATCACACTTCACTCTACTTTTAACACCAACAACATTCACATCACATTCACTCTATTATACCTTCCCTTCAAGTGGTCAGTCTTCACTCCCACGTCGTGTCGTATCTTCACAACCTGGATACTGACCGGTACATGCAATCCCATTCATCCCATTCATCCAAAGCTATGACGATGAGCCACTTAAGAACAAGACGCCACAATCAATCAATATCATCACCCTGTCGCCCGACCCATGTCAATCAATATTTTACTTCCTTGTTTGTGAACCTTTTTTTCTTTCCCATAGGTCTGAAATCAAGATTCAGGATATGCGACCAACGCACCACTTTCATATGTCACTTTCTCTTGAGTAGGTTGGTGGTAAGAATCTAATAGGTATATTAAAAGCTTAGAGACCCTTTCTTGTTCTTTTTTGGAGATAGAGTATCTACCGACCAGGCAATTTAATCAACTTTCTATCCATCTATCAATCAAGACTTGGACTTGATTTTACTTTCTCTCTGTTCATACTCTACATCTCCAATAAACACTCAAACATCAATCGAGTACCCAACCTTCAAAATGGCCACCGGTTTCCTCCACCACTTCGGTACATTTCTGCTCTTCGCCTCTTCTATCCTCCTCCTCATAACTACCATTTCCGCCCCCGTCATCAATGATATCGGAATCATGAAAGTCAAATTGACAAATGGAACCGATTCTCACAATTCCGTGGTTTCATTTGGTACCTTTGGATATTGTGTTTTGAATGTTGATTCGTAGGTTTCTCTTTTCTTTACATCCCCTCATCTCATCTCACCCGAGCGCACGAGAAGATATCAACCCAATATAAGGAATATCATACTAACAACTCTTCTCAAAAACAGAAATGGAAACGACTACTGCACCAAAAAACACATCGGCTACAACCCCGCTGCCATCATGTCCCAAATCGAATCCACCAATGTCAACACCGCCAGCGAAGACACCACCAAAGCCCTCACCAGCGTGATGATTCTCCACCCCGTCGCCTGCGGAGTAATGTTTATTGCCTTCCTCCTCGCACTCGGCGCCGGATTTATTGGTTCATTCCTCGCGGCTCTCGTCTCTGCAATCGCATTCATCATTGCATTGGTCGCTATGGCGTGTGATTTTGCACTGTTTGGAATCATCAAAAACCATGTTAATGGAGATGGAAGTGGAAGTCATGCCTATTTCAGCGTGGGTATCTGGTGTATCTTGGCGGCTATGATTGCAGGATTCTTGGGCGCAGTCGTCGTGTTTGTTACGTGTTTGAGTAAGAGGATGCATAAGAAGAAGACGAGGAGTGCAGTGGGAGAGAAGGGATATGTGGGGGGTGTGAGACCGGCTAAGAGACATTTTTGGCAGAGACGCAGTGGATACTAGGTAATTTCCTGGTCCTACTATTGATGAAAGTGCCCGGGGGTTTGATGTGATGAAGGGAAAATGGAGGAGTGGACATTTAGGAAGCGAATCGACGGACTAGACAAGCCCGAATCTAGTAATGGAAGGAGAGGAGAGGAAGACTTACATAATGACACGACCGCGACGACATTTCTTTTCCTTTATACCATCTGTACTTTTCAAGCGAGAGATACCACAACAAGGTTACTACATATTGGCGCTTTGGTGTAGTCTAGTTTACCCATGTATTTTTCATACCCGCGATACAGATCGGGGTAATAATAAATCTTTTCTATGAATTTGAGTTTGTGTCTACAACGTAACTTGTGATTTTGCTTTTCTCTTCAGCAAATCTCTTCAGAAAATCATTTAATTTCTAATATCTAGCTAGGTCACCGAATTACTCCTCACAATCATCCCATTCATCCTCACCTCACAGAACGAGATACACTATCCCTCATTCCTCATTCATCCCCTATAAAACTACAATCAAAAAGATATATCCCGTAACATCTCACAAACTTTTTCCAAAAAAAGCAAAGTAAATTGATCACTTGCAATGACGGTGTTCACCTATCTGATCTTGTCTTGATATCTAGACAATACAATCCACTGAGTGACTTCTCGGCAAGGGGAAATACGATTCCCATCTATGCGCCAATGATTCAATACCGATATCAATACCAATACCCCTACCGATACTAAATTCAACACATAGATATCCAGTACAAAGGGATGAGAAGAATTCTTTTTCGTTGTATTAGGTAGGTAGGTAGGTAGGTAGGTAGGTAGGTAATATTCGAAATGAATTAATGTTCATTGAAATGTAATTAAAAACTATATAATGAGTAGGTAAGAGTTCTCGAGTCTACTTATTATAAGATTATATTACATGTAAGGCTTTTCCAGCTAAAACCTTTATCTACTATATTGCAGAGTGAAATTCAAAGTTATATTATTAAAATATTCAAGATCAATGAAGATATTCGTAAAAACAGATGATTTATTTTTAAATATTTTTAGAATAGTTTTGTCAAGGGGGATTGAAATTGAAATTCTTGAAATTTTCGATAAAAATCGCTTATTTTGTTGGAGATTTACCTCCTTGATAACCTCACTGTTTATAAGAATTAAAGTATTATATATAACGTAGTTTATTAATATATAATATAGTTTATTAGTGCGTATATTATATTAATACGTGGCCTACTTTAAAAATATACTAAAATCAAGTTTTTCTTAATATTTATGATTTAATGATTAATCATTATTTCTTTTTTTTAAAAAAAGGATATTCAATAATAGTAAAAATTAAATATTCTTATGATATTTTAAAAAAAAGTTAAATTATTACGATTTTTATTACAAAAAGTTGTTTTTATAATAACTATTGATATAATTCGAATTTTCGGTTTATTATTAGAAATTTATAATATTTATATATTTCAATATTATATATTCAATTTTTAGAAAATCCTGTTTATAAATAAAGAAAGTGTATAGTTATATATTGTTAGAACACGTGACTAGGGGCGTGACAATACATGTCACGCTTGACCCTATATACGTACTCCGTATATAAGTAGGATTAGTATACGTATATATACTTAATAAATCTCTTTTCGTATCAAGAGAACAGATAGAATAAAACAACTCTTTTTACTCTTGTACCTTGTATATATACACCTTACTAAGTCTGTTTAATATATATAAATAAATTTTATATATAAAAAGAATAGTATATAACGTGATTTATCATCGAGTGGGTCATATCATCAAGTAGATCATTATTTTTATATACAAAATTCTTCTGTGTATAATCGTGTACTTTCTTTATTTATCAATAGAATTTTCTATTGAACAGACTTAGTAAGGTGTGTATATATAATAT